ATATATATATATATATATATATATATATTAATGGATATGGTAAGAAAATGTCGATTTATAGTTGTCATAAAGTCGACGTTAAGTCGACTGATATGGTTGACTTATAACCGACTATAGTTGGGACATTTGTCGACTATTAGTCAGCTATAAGTTGACATTTAGTCTAACTAAAATCGACTTCTTCTGCCGACTTATAGTCGACTAACAGTCGACTTTGTGCTGTTTGGAATGCGATATATAAAAGATTTTTTTGCATTAAAATCGAAGGTTTGAGTTCAGGTTATACGGGAAAATTATCTTATTATACATCTAGAAAAAAAGTACCTATAAGTGATTGTTTCGTTCTTTGCCATCAGCCTAAGAATTTTTTCGTGAAAAGAGTAGAGCTTTTGTCGTATTTAAGTCTACTTAGAGTCGACATAGTTGACTAATAGTCAATTGTGCTCAGTCAATTTTCAGTCGACTTTCAAAAGTCGACTAATACTCAGCAAATAGTCGACTACTTGGACTTGAAATAGTGTTGAAAGTCGACTTTAAATCAACTGGAGATAGATAATCAACCGACATTTCATAATCGACTTTACGCCAATTAAGAAAAGTCGACTATAAGTCAACAAACAGTCACTTGTGTTATATGGGACTTAATCTTTATAGGATAAGAAATCACTATAATGACTTTAAAACAGTATCATTTTATAAAGCAAAAAATACAATAAATTAATTAAAAATTAATTAATTAAAATAAATCTTAAGGAAAGATTTATTAGATTTAGAAAAGATATTAAATTTTAAAAATAGATATATTAATAAAAAATTGATGAATTAATAAATTTAATTCGTCAAGATGAATTAAAAAACTTGTACAATGTTTTATCTAATTCTGAAGATCTAAACAATATCATTGTGAAAAAAAACAACAAAAATAAATCTGAGTTATGCAAATTTTTTTTATATTCGAATTCGTGATAATTCTAATTTGAAGAATTTATTTGATTTCGCGCTTTTTCTGCATCTTACACCTTTGTTCTTTCTCAATATCATGTGCATGAGGTGTCATGAAAAATGCGATTGCACCTGTAAATCGATCAGAGTTTATTACATTGGGTGTATCCAGAAGCACCATGCAATGAGCGCTCAGTAACCGCTAACTACGCTCTCTAGATTTATACACTGGATGCGAGCGCTCGCTAAATTCCCTTACAATGCGAGGGAATAGCGATAGGAATAGCAATAAGAATAATATAGAAATAAGCGATCACCTCGCACTGTACAATATCGTGAAAGAAATAAAAGCTAACTAATCAGATCACGTTTGAAGACCCAAACAGCACAAAGACTATTAGTCGACTATAAGTCGGCAGAAAAAGTCTAAAGTCGACTTTAAAATTAGATTGAATGTCGACTTATAGTCGACTAATAGTCGACAAATGTCCCGACTATAATCGGCTATAAATCAGCCATATCAGTCAACTTAAAGTCGACTTTATGACAATTATAAGTCGACATATTTTGCTTGGTTATGGCGACGAGGTTGACTTTTGGCCGACAATAAGTCGACTTTCAGATTATTTAATATAGGTTATGATGATTACGTCGACTTTTAGTCGACAATAAATAGACATTCTTTACAAAGCTTTATTTATATTTATTTTCGTCTATTTAATATATATTTATTAACTATTAACATTAGAAATATAAACTTTTAAATAAAATTTATAATATAAAAAATACATTTTTATATATAAAAAAACCTATTTCTGTAGTATTTGTAATCTGTCACCAGATCGTCGCAACCACTCTTGCATACATCCTTCTACTTCAGTTACCGTGGTATTTGAATCTTTCTTTAAAACAATGGCTACAAACGAAGTAATAAAATAATCGATATAAATATAACTGCATTTCGATATACGTATCCTGAACTATATTTAAATATTTAAATATAGTTCAGGACACGTATATTATAGATTTTTTGGCAGTGAATATCAGAATTCAGCTTATATACAAATATTTTTATTATTATATAAGTGTACAATGTGATTCGGAATAATCAGATATGTCACATAATCAGATATGTTTTGATTTAAATTTGAAACAAATTTCGATATAAAAATGTTGTACGGTTATTTTTTTAATTATTATTTTAACGTTAACTAATTATGGCACGAGTCCAGCAAATAGATACAAGCGACGCAACTTAATCAGATCGAATACGGAATTATAAGGAACGGTTGTTCTTTTTTCTTGTGGAGGAAATTTTTAAGAAGCATAAATCTCTTCAAGCACATCTCGGCCGAGGAAGTATCATAATTTATGAGAGGAATTTGGAAAAGTTTATGTAAACATAATTATTTAAAAAAAAACTACGTTTCTTCAGATTATGTTTTTGACAGAAACAGAACAAAGACATAGACAATGACAGATAGAAACAAAATGAGTGAGCGAATAAACGAGTAATCCAGCAAATTAATGATTGAGCGAATAAGCGAGTGACAAAATGAACGAGTGTGAAAATGAGCGAATGAGCAAGTAAGAATATCTCTGTCTATCTTCTAGACGTGTCGTAATTTATTAACGTGATCCATTAATAATTAAAAAAGTAATCGTACGAAATTGATATACCAATTATTGTATCGGCTAATTTTGATTTTCTGAATGCTGATTTATTCTTTTTTTGTCCCGTCCATGAGTATGCCTATGCAAGTTCATATCCAAAAATTTGAAATATTATATTCCTTACAAGTTTTGGTACAGTTTCTCCACCCAATTGTGACATTTTTATCACCTGTAACAAATGTATATTTAAATGTTTTAAATGTGTATGTGCGCATTTATTATTCATTATTATTTATTGCATAATTTGCTTCATTTATATATTTTTTAAATAATCTTGATACTTTTAATTATTTTTAATAAATTTTTACTATATGATTATTATATTAATAAAAACATAAATTTAATTACATTTTTATGATAATTACATTCATTTATTTAAGAATGGATATGTTCCTAATTGAAATTTTTGCTAAAACTGACGTATGATGTATATATACATACTTAAATTCATAATTAATAGTAATTATTATAATTAATAAAATATAATATTATTTTTATACATTTAGATGACTGAATATAATTTACTTAATTTTTATTAATGTAATTAATTAAAGCCATCAAGCCATAAAGTCACTGTTGCTGTAAGTCTTTTAATTTATAAAGAATAAAATACTTACAAATAGTCGTCGAACATTCGCATCTTTTAATCTATTGTTGAAATTATCTATTTGCTGTACTGTACTGAGAGGGAAATTCGGTAAAAGAGAGAAGTCGACTTCTTGTATTTTATTTCCATTTTCTAGGAAATGAATAATTTTGTCCAGCTTATGCTCAATTGTCGCAAATTTTGTATAATATCCTCGACGACATTTTTCTGAACAATAAAAACAAGAAGCAAACAATTAAAAATAAGATAAAACTGAAAATGTACAATAGAAATTAATTATTGAAATTAATTTAATTATTGATTTTATTTAATTATTGAGTTTGTGATAATTATTAGATCTATTAGTAATCAATAAGTAAAACTAAACTTACTACAACAAACTGTGTGCTCCAACTCTATTGATTCTTTGTCGATATTATTTTCCTATTTTCATTATTTTGTATAATATCAAACAATGGTTGATATACAAAATTTATTTTACTTGTAGATTTACTTGTAGGACGGAATGTTATATCTGATAATATTTTTGGCCGAGCTGAATCTCCTAAAAAATTGCAAGAAACATAGAGTGGGATCCGATAGCTCACATTGCTGATTGGTTAATTTAATATATTAAATTAATCAATCATATTATATATATATATATATATATATATATATATATATATATATAG